CGGACTACTCTTGGCCCCGAAGGTGAGCTTTGTAAAGAAGTAGTAGGCTCCTTGCCACTTAACGCCATGCAGGTGCCACAAAGAGGGGTGAATAGGTAATAATTTGAAGGCATTTACAATATCAGTCTTGCTGAGCCAATCCCCCAAACCTGCAGATCTGATAGCTGCAATTGCGTCATCAATCGTGGAGTATTGTAGGGAGAATTCTTCAGATGGAATCAATGAAATTAGGCTGGGGATGGCTGAGGAGTCGGGTGCGGATAAATCAATGATGAGTCTCAGTTTCTCAGAATTTTTGCTGGAAACCAGCCCGATAGGGTTAGTTCTCCAGCTGGAAAAGGGGGGCTAACAAAAGGCCCAATGACAAATCCCTGATCAACTTCAAGTTGTAACAACGTGGTGACTGCCGTAGTGTGGTTAGTGGCAGACTGTAAATTGTGACACTCTATTACCCCAGTTGGCATGTAAATGAGCCCTGTGTGAAAACCCTGGGTGAGGCCTGTACATAAGAATTCCACAAGGTGTGTGGAGGGGTGAGTGGACAGCATACTTGCGAGTAAAGGAATATTCACCGAAGACAAATAAGGTTTCTGGTACATTTTATTCGGGCACATGGATTTCGCATGTGCCCTGAAACAATGCGAGCACACGTGTAGTAAGCGGCAGGCGCTGTAACCGCAGGAGCCCTCATTGAAATTATTGCAAATCTGAGATCTGAGACAACGTGGCAGACACTTTTGATGAAAAGGACTTATGGTAATCGTAAAAAGTATAGCCACCATACTTATTACCAAGGTCCACCAGCTTATATAGATCGAGTTCCTCCCTCCTATGGGGATGATCCGTGCATAGAATATCTCTAAAGATACCAAAGGCCAGAACAAAATCAGTAATGGCGAGTTTCTTACTGAGTCTGGGGTCTCTGGCTTTTAAAACCACCGAGATGTCCCCGTAGTTGTAAGACCGGTTTTCCACGATATCCTGGGAGGCAATGAGCAGTGAAACTAAGTTAATGTCCTTGCCTTCTTGGATGTTCTTTTTTAAATTTCCCGGAACCATATGGGCAGGATTAATAACGTGGGCGGCTGCCTTAGTGGCTATCGAATTACCCGTTATTGCTGTGGGTATGGCTGGGATTAATTCGGAGAGAGGGCGCGGAGGCTGTGCAGGGAAGCTACGGGCTTCCAGCCTCTCCAGCCTGTCGTTGACCTTACCCATAGAAGAGATTAGGGAGGCAACCATAGCATGGAGAGTCGGATCTTGAGAGCTGCTTGTGCCTTCCCCTGCGTCTGTATTAACGGTATTGGTTCTTAGCAATTTGAACAGTTCTGCTTTCCTGGCAGTAGCCGGGAAGGGAATACTGCGTTTACGTAATTCTGCAGTGATGCGGGGGATAGTCCATGATCTGATGGACGAGGGACTTCCGTGTCGCCCTTGCGGGTTGGAGTAAGTGACCTAGCAGGGGTGCTAGGGATTGACATATCCTCACCATCGTCTGGGAGTAGGGACATACTGAAAAAATATAATAGACATGTTGGGAACCAGGGTTGGGAATTGACAGGTGGCTAGCTAGTGCCAGATGGCGAAAGATTATTCTAGGTTTGTGACAGGTGAGGCCCTGCTAGTGCCAAGTGGCTAGAGAGGCTCTATCTATGAGTTGACGCGAGGGGCGTGGTAACCTATACCGATGATGGGACGTTGGCCTCTCCATGCGTGTGGGGGGGCGGGGGGCATTTGGCGGTGACTGGTGTCGCCCTCTCTATATAATTTGCGAGGCGGCTAACTATGATTTGGCCCGAGGGGCGTATAGTACCTCGAAGTGGAGGATGGGAGTTGGCCTCGCGGACCGCTAGGATTAAAGGGCAGGGAAATAACTAAAACGGCCGTGTTGAAAATAATGTGAAAATCAACATACCTGCAGAAAAATGAGCACTGGCTTCTGTATAAGAGAAATCAGAGGTCTCTTGAGTAAGGGGGGGGTAGCTTAGGTGACCCGTCCAAGGGTATTCGGGTTCCTGGGGGTATGAGAATTTAGATAATGTACTCTTGTGGAACATATACATAAGACTGAATAACTGGCGTAGTAAGTGCTTCGGGGGTGATTGCAGCGAGTACTGTCCCCACAACGGACACAATGCCACCGGTAGGCCATGTACTTTAACCTTAACCGTGGTATAATTATCTTAAGACTTTAACGTTGCTACTATACATGCAGATATCTCATAACATATCTAATCAGCCATAAG